AATAAAAGGAGAGATACTGCTTAGCCTAGAATCAGGAAGCAGGCAGGTAAATGTCAGACTATGCTTTATTAATAATCATCACGTTTACCTTCTTGGCAGAAGGACATTTACAATAATAGATTTTTTTTAAAAACCACCTTATCGTAGGGTAGGAAAAAGTTTTAACTGTAAAAAGTGTTTTTTATATCGGTAGAGGGCACATGGACTTGCCAGAGAGAGAGAGTGAAAGAGAGTGCAAGTGAGCTATCCTATTGGGGCATGATCACTTGCAATGTCTTCTCTTCCATTCCACCAGGATTTGTGGCAAGCACGCATAAGAGCCTGGCATGTTTTTCAAGCTGCTTTGGCCAGGATTCAAACCATAGTCAGCCATGTGGGATCCAGCTCATTCTGCATAGTTCAGGTACTTCACTACAGGGTCAGCCTAGAAATAGAGTTTTCAACAGGGAGATACAAGACCATGACATCAGAATATGTGTTACTTTCTTCTTTACAACTGTGAGGATCTCTTAACTATCCATGGGAAATCATGAATCCACTTACTTGGCTAAAGAAAACTTTACAAGATACTCTTTAAAAAATTTCCTTTCATCTTACTACTGAGACTCTTTCCATTCCTTTCTGGGACTATTCTCATGGCTTATTTTTTAATCTTTCTCTAATCCCATTATTTGCTACTATCTTTCATTATCGTTTTATTTTTTAAGAGAGATTTTTGCTATAGGGCACATGCACTCACCAGAAAGATGGAAAGTGAGAAATCACCCCCCAGGGGATGGCCATAACACACTCCCTTCTCCTTCATTTTCCTCCTTGGCATGAGTTTCAAACCACCAGGGGACTTGAACCACAGCTGGCCATGTAGGAGTCCAGTGACATAACTACTATACCATCTGCTGGTACCTATCTTTTATCACTTTTGAACACTTACCATTGGCCTTCATGTAACACAGCTGTCTTTCAAGATCTGTATAATCTGGGAACCAGCAGTTAGCGTAATGGCTATGTCGCTGGACTCCCACGTAGTCGACTGCGGTTCAAGTCCCGGACCCGGTGGCTTAAAACTCATGCTGGGCACGTGTGTGTGCATGCCCAAGATCCCTAGAGGAGAATGGAGGAGAAGGGATGGCGGCGTGACCATCCCCCCTGGGAGGTGATTTCTCACTTTCTGTCTCTATGTCTCTCTCTGTCTGGCGAGCACACACGCCCTATAGCAAAAACCTCTCAAAAAAAAAAAAAAAGATTTGTATAATCAATATCACGGTCTTGAAAATGCACCCAGGTTAATATACCATCTTAAAACCCTAGGAAAGTCTATCTAATGGCCTTTGCATAGCAATCTGTGCAATTAAAAGGAAAAGTACTCTGCAGAGATCATTATAATGCATAATTCAGTAAAGCTGAACAGAACCATTAATGCTTCAGCTCCACCCTGAACCGGGAGGCAGACATCCAAAACAAATCCTTACCTCCCACCCCCTACCTCGTGTGGCACAGAACACAGGAGGCCGGGAGGCCCCGACAGCTTGGTGGGCTTCACTGTGCTCTATCCATAGAAAACAGCAGCAAGAATGGGCGAGCAAGCGTGAGAGAGGAAGGTCAGAGGGGGCTTGAGAGCTTCACGAAGTCAGCAAGATGAAGGCCTAAATTTCAAAATCTCTTCTAAAAAATAGAGAGGCAAGACATTTGTGGGACGCAGTAACGGTTTATTGCCTGTTGATGATAACATGTATAGTATTCTCAACTGGATGGGTCTGAGGTGTATTTCCTGTTGGGTAAATTCTCTTCACAAGCCAAATGATGTGTAACAATCGAATGCATAAAAATAATATAAAGTAAAATAAATAATAATACATGATAAATACAAAAAAAAATACAGAAAACAAACTCTTCTGATGCTTCACTACACAAAAGTTAAAGGCGGGAGAGGGAAGCAAGGAGCAGACCTGGGAAGCCTAGTATGGTTTAAGAAGGCTGGTGAGCCACGGTTGTAAGGAGCCCTGAGTGTCCTTTCTTCCAGCCTCCCCCAACCCCCACCCCGAGTCATGCATGTAGCTGCTGCCATAAGCATCTGCCTTGAAAGCAGCTGTCCAGAGCTCTAGCTTCTGATCTCAACTTCTTCCAACTCTAGGACCCTCTAGGCAGACTATCTCAAACAGGCAAGCTGCTTCTGGAAGCTTCCTTCTCGGCTTCAGTGTGACAGACCTCAATAGGCTGAAGCCAGTTATCTATTCACCAAAGACAAGGGAGGAAAACAATGGAAGATATTCTCTCCCAGAGAGTAGAAAATTATTTCATATATCTCAGGTGGTCATTTCTTCAGAGAATACTACCTCAAAAATATTTAGATAATACTAATTTCCTCCAAAAGATGCGACCTAATGCTCTTTGAACTGTAAGACAAATTAAAGGATCAGCTGTGGCAAATCTTATCAACAATGAAACAACTCCAACACAAATAAAAACTTATTCAAGCAGAATGTTTTCATCATCTCATTAGCAGGAGATGAATAAGATTACTGATAGGAACTACAATACTTTCCTAAATAACTCTTCCATGCTTAGATTATCCTGTATCATCCCCCCTTTTCTATTATTTTTTCCCTTTTTCATTTTATTTTCTTTTATACATTCAATTAATTATTATTTCTTACAAAATAGATATTTCAACCAGTGAACTTTTCTCCCTACTACAGTTGATAAAACTACAAAATATCTTCAATCTATTATTTTCTTTCCATTTTATTTCTTTGCTTTCGTTCTCTACTCATCAAAGAAATTAGAGAGCAATAAAGTTCAAGGTAAAATCTTAAGAAAAATCAGTGATATCCAGAATAAATCTCCTTTCAGTCAATCTGGTGTTCTATCCTCCAAAGAGCTGTTAAGCATCACGTCTGAAAGAAAATGGACAGATGTCCATCTCAACAAATAATAGCCAGTGAGCCTGGGAGTACTGGCAAGGACTTTAGATGTGTTCTAGTTTGTTTTATCACTAACTCCCAGTATCTGGGGCTACAAGCATATTCCACCACATTCAGCTTTCAGGTCAGGCTGGGAATTGAACCTGAACCTCACATGTGGCCTCAGCCTGTGGAGCAAGAGAATGATGTGTAACAATCGAATGCATAAAAATAATATAAAGTAAAATAAATAATAATACATGATAAATACAAAAAAAAATACAGAAAACAAACTCTTCTGATGCTTCACTACACAAAAGTTAAAGGCGGGAGAGGGAAGCAAGGAGCAGACCTGGGAAGCCTAGTATGGTTTAAGAAGGCTGGTGAGCCACGGTTGTAAGGAGCCCTGAGTGTCCTTTCTTCCAGCCTCCCCCAACCCCCACCCCGAGTCATGCATGTAGCTGCTGCCATAAGCATCTGCCTTGAAAGCAGCTGTCCAGAGCTCTAGCTTCTGATCTCAACTTCTTCCAACTCTAGGACCCTCTAGGCAGACTATCTCAAACAGGCAAGCTGCTTCTGGAAGCTTCCTTCTCGGCTTCAGTGTGACAGACCTCAATAGGCTGAAGCCAGTTATCTATTCACCAAAGACAAGGGAGGAAAACAATGGAAGATATTCTCTCCCAGAGAGTAGAAAATTATTTCATATATCTCAGGTGGTCATTTCTTCAGAGAATACTACCTCAAAAATATTTAGATAATACTAATTTCCTCCAAAAGATGCGACCTAATGCTCTTTGAACTGTAAGACAAATTAAAGGATCAGCTGTGGCAAATCTTATCAACAATGAAACAACTCCAACACAAATAAAAACTTATTCAAGCAGAATGTTTTCATCATCTCATTAGCAGGAGATGAATAAGATTACTGATAGGAACTACAATACTTTCCTAAATAACTCTTCCATGCTTAGATTATCCTGTATCATCCCCCCTTTTCTATTATTTTTTCCCTTTTTCATTTTATTTTCTTTTATACATTCAATTAATTATTATTTCTTACAAAATAGATATTTCAACCAGTGAACTTTTCTCCCTACTACAGTTGATAAAACTACAAAATATCTTCAATCTATTATTTTCTTTCCATTTTATTTCTTTGCTTTCGTTCTCTACTCATCAAAGAAATTAGAGAGCAATAAAGTTCAAGGTAAAATCTTAAGAAAAATCAGTGATATCCAGAATAAATCTCCTTTCAGTCAATCTGGTGTTCTATCCTCCAAAGAGCTGTTAAGCATCACGTCTGAAAGAAAATGGACAGATGTCCATCTCAACAAATAATAGCCAGTGAGCCTGGGAGTACTGGCAAGGACTTTAGATGTGTTCTAGTTTGTTTTATCACTAACTCCCAGTATCTGGGGCTACAAGCATATTCCACCACATTCAGCTTTCAGGTCAGGCTGGGAATTGAACCTGAACCTCACATGTGGCCTCAGCCTGTGGAGCAAGAGCAGGTTTAGCATGCATAACTGGGCATTTCACTCACATCTCTGACATCCACTCTCAGCTATGAACACCTTCCTCAAGTACTTAGGTTCAACAAAAATTAATCTATTTTCCTCTTTATCAGTGGCAACCCTACAGCCTCCTATTGCAACGTGGCATTTGCCAAATAAGTTTTCAAAAGGAAAATGTAAAATGAATAAGTTCTAGATTAGACTAAGAAAGGGCAGGGTGGAAAAGAAAAAATTCTGAGTAATAAATTTTTAAATGTAATTTTATATCTAAGATATAAACGAAAAACTAACAACTGAATGGTTCTAGGTAGCAGTTCATCTACACCACCTATGAGTACAAAACACATTGATTTATAACCTTAACATCTTTTCGACAAATCAGTACAGTTAAAGGTTTACAAATTTATTTCTCCCCAAAGAAATTAGATATAACTCTTAAAATTGCAACCAGTTTTTTCAGCAAAAACACTTTTCTCAAGACCATGCAAAACACCAGTCCGCCCTGAACCATGAAAGATTTAAGAGTCTAGACGAGATCCAACTGCAAATATTAAGAAAATAAAATCACAATGTTTAGTCTGCTCACCTCAAATGATCTTTCTGATTTCCCTTTCAGTTTTCCAAGCTCTTCTTTCAATTTCTCATTTTCGTGACTCAAGGCTATTAGGCGTTCTTTGGCTTCTTTGCTCTGTAGCTCAAAAAACTGGCGTTCTTCCTTCTGTTTCTCTGTCCAGGCTGAAAGCTCCTCAAATCGCCCTTTCATAGCTTGATTGTTTAGCTTCATGGCTTCTATGCAGGGTTCAGAATGAGGGAGTCACATGCCAGGCAGGAGAATAGGCTTAATGTGATGAACCAAGCCTCCCCATGGTCCACTTTGCAACACAGCTCTGAATCTAAAGATGCTGCTATGGTTTGTATCTTCCCCAAAATTTAAGTATTGAGATTTGGCTATGAAGGCATTAAGAGGAAATTTAACATCTTTGTGGTACTGAAAGGTAGGGCCTCTGGGAGTATATAAGTGATTATGGTGGGGCTCTATAATTGACTCATAGAGGGTTTACAAGGAGAGGAATGAGACTAAGGCAGAGACCTCTGTATGAATTAAGCACAGAGACATGAGCTCCTATTCTCTCACAATCTGATGCCTTACATGGTCTGGGAATCCTGCCAACAGGAAACACCTTATCAGATGTGGTTCATGGGTCCTGGACTTCTAAACCATGAGTTGAATAAACCTCTATTCACCTAAATCACCCAGACTTAGGTATTTTCTGTTATTAGTGATAGAATGGACTAGAACAGATGCCATGCTTGGTCTGGGTCCAAGGGTCAGCAAAAAGACTATATAGTAAGGGAAGTAAGATTTGCTTCCACATAGGACTAGACTAATGGGACTAAGTCATATCTAGTACTTGAAGTCCCAAGAAGGGTTGGTCCCACAGTTTTGTGGTTAAGATCCCACATGGCCAACCATGGTTCAAGTCTTGGCCCCCAGTGACTTGAAAAACATGCCAGTTGTGTGTGTGTGTGTATATATATATACCCAAAATTATGAAAGGATGGAGAAATAGGGGAGAATGGACTATAGCTTGGATATACCCCATTAGGGGGGTGCATTCTCCTTCTCCCTCTCTCTGTCTCTGGTGAGCACACACATACTTTCTGGCAACTAAAAAGAAAAGTCTCAAGAAAATTAAATTGATTTGGCTACTACCACGGCAGCTCAAATATCCATTAATAATTAGGGGACTGAGGAAGGTCTTATCATTTTAAATGTGAATACCAGTCCTGCCAAAAGACATGCCTTGAGATACCAGCATTTGCCTTAATAAGGTAATATGTAGAACTAATTCTAATCACAACAGCCTTTCTTTCCTTTTCCTTTTAAGTGGGCCAAATATTATTATGCTATTTCCCTGAGATACCCAGAATATTCTTTGTTCTTATCTATATCCAAAAGCAAACATTGGAAGCCCTTTAGCCTTACTAAAAGTTAAATCCTATGCTCTTCCTCCACCCTCCTCCAGGGAAACAGACAGGGAAGGGAGCTAACCTTGAAACCTATTACAGAGAGATTACATGTCATGGAGACCTGGGGAACAGGGCGTGCAGGCCCTAGCTGCTGCTCACCTTTAAGCTGATGGTTCTCAGTGAGGAGCTCTTTCATCTGCTGCAGCAGCTCCTCTGGGGTGAATGTGTCCAAGTTTGGGTGAGCCAGATTAGGGGGTCCATTTCCTGTGGTTTCATTGGGGCTGTCCCCCTTTTGAGTCAGGCAGCTGAGAGGTTGGTGGGACATGACAGCAGTTCCTAGGAAGAGTCATAAATTGAAAATATAGGGGCCGACTGATGGTGTGATGGTTAAGGGCACTGGACTCCCACATTGCTGACTGTGGTTCAAGTCCTAGACCTGGCAGCTTGCCTTTTCGCTCTCTCTCTCTCTCTCTCTGTCCCTCTCTGGTCAAAATAAAATAAATAAATGAATGAATGAATTTCAGTAAAATAATTCTTTTTTTTTTTTTGAGAGTTTTTTTTTTTTTGCTATAGGGCGCGTGCGCTCGCCAGACAGACAGAGAGAGACATAGAGACAGAAAGCGAGAAATCACCCCCCAGGGGGGATAGTCACGCCGCAATTCCTTCTCCTCCATTCTCCTCTCGGGATCTTGGGCACGCACGCACACGCGCCCAGCGTGAGTTCTAAGCCACTGGGTCTGGGACGCGAACCGCGGTCCACTACGTGGGAATCCAGTGACATAACCATTACGCTAACTGCTGGTTCCCAGTAAAATAATTCTTAAAAAAAAAAAAAAAGAAAATATAGCTGTCTTCCTCAGCAAGGGGTCCCCATGAGTCCACAAATCCATTAGCAATTGCTAATATTTATTCCAAAATTCACCTTTCTTTCAATTACATTTTGAACATTTTGATTCTTCCTTTTAAACAAAAATATATATCCCAGCTTCAGAGAAATACATGTGTATGTGTATGCACAAGTGTGCCTGTGTATATGAGTATATAAAAGGGCACAGTGAGGAGTAAGAAAATGGGAGATGAAAAGAGCTGATATCATGATCAGAATAACTTTTGTCGACATGGGTAAAGTGGCATTAAATACATTTACATTCTCATGTAAATATTTAAGGTCACATCTCCTTATTTTGAGTGACTGTACCTTTTTTTCTTTAAAAAAGTTCATGGAGCTGGGTGTGTGTGTGCATGCCCAAGATCCCAAGAGGAGAATGGAGGAAAAGGGATTGCAGGGTGGCCATCCTCCTTGGAGGGTAATTTTTTGCTTTCTCTCTCTGGTGTGTGCATGCGTCCTATAGCAAAAATCTCTCTTTTTAAAAAAAGTGATGGAAATGCATACTATGAAAACACAGTACTTGGATTTCAATGTTTGTACCACAATAAACTCATACTTCAACCTCATCTTTCCATGAACCTCTGAAACCCCCTCATATGTTATGTGAATTATCTCTCAATAAAGCTGTTTTTAAAAAACTCTGTACCTAGGGCCGCATGTGGCAATGGTAGCTAAGGGTGCTGGACTCCACATGGCTGACCACGGTTTGAGTTCCGGACCTGGCAGCTTGTTTTTCTCACTTTTCCCTTCTCTCTGGCTCTCACTCTCCCACTTTCTTACTCTGTCCCTCTCTGGTCAAATTAAATACATAAATAGATAAATAAAGATAAATAAAAATAATTATTTAAAACAAACAAACAAAATTTTGTCTTATTTCTTGTACTTTTGATTAAGACAAAGCTAAGTTCACAGGGAGGTTAGAATTCCCCCACAGTCAGTAAGTGGCCTAACCAGATACATGGATGATTTCAAAATCTAACCTTGCAATACATAAAGGTATTACTATAAAGGTTCAGCGTTACATTTTTCAAAGTATATTCAAAAGACTAAGACATCTTGTTTAGTTATTATAGATTTGAAAATATTTTTACACATGCCACTTCATTTTGGACGAGGGTCAATGTTGACATATAAATTTAAAATAGATGGGTGAATCCAAACTCCACTTTTATATTCTATTGCTAATACCCTGAAAATCACAGGCATCTTTCTTATGGCTGCTATTGGCAAAAATGTTCATCTTCACACGTCAAGTCATGAAAATGAAGAGTCTTTTCTGTCAAGAACTGATGTGGACAGATAACAAAGCAATTATCAAGTAAAGGAATGCCTCCCTCTAACATAGTGCGTATGCACACATTCTACTGTATAAAGGTCAGACAGTTAACATCCGCTCTCTCTCTACTTATCTGACATGTAACTGTATGGTAATATTCATGTGTATGTTTAGTATTCATTTATGAGAATGAAACCACAGAGACTGTGGTGCTGCCTCTGTTCACCACTAGGAGGCAGTACCTTGGGCTCTCTGGAAGACCCCTGAAAGAAAGGACCATGAGGTAAACAGAGCTAGTGCCATTGTTGACACCTTGGCACAATGCCTATGTGGCTTCTTCCTAAAGACATGCATCTGATGACATTATGTAATGAGGGTGGCAATTTTATGAAATGAAAACAATGATAAAGCATAACATGGAGTCCTCAAAGAGCTTGTAGGAAATGCATAATATGAAATACTATGCTTATATTTCAAAAATTTTGTACATAAATACACTTGTACTTTAATTACACAGTTTTCTCTTTTTTTTTTTTT